TAATGGTTTTGACAATTCTTATATAATAAGTAAAATAAATGAAAGTGATATTTCCAGTACTGAAGATTTTGATAGGAATACTTTGCCCGATTTAATTTCAGAAAGTCAATATGAAGAATATTATGGAATCTTCAAAAAAAATATTTCCAAGTGCAAATTTCTCGATGGCCATAAAAAACAGCTGACTATGGTAATAGAGTATTATAAAGATCCTTATTATTTATAATCTGGTGTACATAATTTTCGATAGTGGTTTACCCCTCGTAAATAAATAAACCGGACTTTTTTTCGCGGGACTTATGACATCGGACTTTTTTTCGTCGGACTTTTAGGTAGAATCCCGCTCACCAGCCATAAGACCAATGTAAAAATAACTAAAACAGCGTGTTAGAAAAAGACAGCAGATAAGAATGGTATTATTTTTTTTATCRCACACAACAATATGATTCAACGACTTTTAACATTTTGTTTTATGTTACTAAAGAGTAAAGTTTTAAACTCAAACTTTAAAAAAAAGTAAAACAGTGAGCAGTTAAGAACTTAAGATAGTACATTTCTGTAGTGGTTTTTAATTGTATACTAGCTTAAGTGACGTTAGGAAAGACTTTTCATTTCACAAGTTAGTATAAAATGTTACACCTATTATAGTAGTATAGTGTTATTGATTTTACACATTGATCATTTCAAAGACATTTACATATATTATTTTAATATTTAAGGTTTCCCTTCAAAGAAAAATATTTTTTATTTGTAAATTATACTATGTATACAATACTTATGCTTATATAGTTATATATAATACTTGTAYAGTTGTATATCTCCAAGCCCGAAGCCATATATTGCTTGTGATTGTTTTAGATAAAGATTTGGCGTCGAGTAGAGTAAAGCCGTTAATAGTTTTATAGCGTCAGGGGATGTTATTGCTTGGCGAGCATTTTCGTCGGCTCTCTCGTTTCCTGTGATTTGACTGTGGCTAGGGATCCATATCAAGATGGTGGAGTGTCCGGAATTAGTGAGGTTATGCAGTTNAAATTGCGATCACAGACAAATGGCAGACAGCAATTGCATTTATGTGAACAAAATTATGCACGAAATCAAGTAATTTAAAATGTCTGTATACAGATTGACTTTGTAACTCATTAATATTTTATTTTGTAATTAGTGAACTTACTCATATTGTTTCTGATGTAACATCGGATCCAACTTTACCCAGGTCTGAAGATCATCCCTGTCCAAAATGTAAACACCGTGAATCAGTATTTTTCCAAGCTCAAACCAGACGCGCAGAGGTATATTTTTAGGTACTAGGTATTTTATTTTAATTATGTCTTAATTTTGTTWTTTTATTTTTATTTTCAGGAGGAAATGAGATTGTATTATGTATGTACTAATCCTCATTGCATACATCGTTGGACTGAGTCGTCTATTTAATTTTTATACTATGTAATGATTTTATTTATACATTTAAAGACAATATTTATAATTGAAATGATTAAAATAAAACATAATATGTATTATTTAATCATACACTTTATTATGAACAATGGAAAATAAACTATTAATTAAAAATATCAATATGTCACAACTTAAACTTAATCCTTTCATTAAACATTGTTGAGCAGCGTTATAAATTGTTTTAAATATAATAATTATAACTTTAAAATTCCAAAGTGGTATAAAATTATATAAAATTATTTTCATCAAATGCACCTTTTGATTACTAGTTGTGTTTGTTTTTTGTGGATCTTTTACTGAGGATTGTGAATTTTGCTTAAGCAAAGGTTGTGTATTCTGACTATTCTGAACACTAGATGTTGGTTTTTGATTACTAAATGAAGCATTCAAGTATAATTTAATCAAAAATTAAAATAAACTTGCAGTATTCAATGTTTTTTTAAAAATCTATTCAGAAGTGTATTTGAACTTACAATTTAATATCATATTACAAAT